TCGATGTTTAGTAAAGATATAGGTTTGTAACTGGTACACTGAGACCAATCTTTGCCCTCCTTAGGTATAACTGTGATATATGGATGTAACGACTCCTCCCTCAGCTCTGTTTCTTCTCCCAATGTATTCATGTATGTACACAGTTTAGGGACTAGTTGTTCTTTGAACGTCTTATAATTTCCCCACAGTAAATCCATAAGGCCCAGGGCTCTTACCTGCAACTGTACTCTTCAATGCTAAGCTAACTTCTTCTTGTGAAATTAAGTTATCTAAAGCTGTTAGTCTAACTTCATCCAATCAAGATAGAACAGCCTAGTTTAAATATATTTGCCTTTTTCCCTTTCACCCCTCCTCTGGTTCCTTCTGGTTCCTTCTTAGATTTTGCTCAGTATAAACCACTATAGTATCTCTGGAATGTATTAGCGATATCAGTGGTCGAATAAACCATTTCTCCTTTTCTTTTCCTTCAATTTCCTCATGAAGTATTTCCCAGGTTTATTCCCCCACTGATATCTTTCCTTTGAAAACCCTATTAAAAATCTTCCTTGTTCCATGAGATTCTAATCTATTCGAATTCATATTTATTCTATTTAAAATATGAATTTTCGGAAGACGGTTATTTTCTGTTTTCTTCTTTTCTATTCTTTTATTTTCTATTCTGTTCTATTCAATTGTATTCTAATATATATTATTCAAATACAAATGTATTCTTTTGAAATTCAAATTTTGGAAGCCAGGTATATTCTATTCTATTCTTTTTTATTATATTATAATCTATACTATTTGAATTCAAATTATTTCTTTTCAAAATCTCGTAAGATGGTTATATGCTTTTTTACTCAATTTATTTTGCTATTCTGTTCTTTTCTATTCTATTCCTTAATTTTCTATTTTATTTTATTCTTTTATTTTCTATTTTGTTTTACTCTTTTCATTCCTATTCAATTATTTTATTTTGTATTATATTCTTTTCTGTTCTGTTCTATTCTATTCTATTCTAATCTATTCTATTTGAATTCAAATTTATATTTTTTTAGAACTCTGAATTTCGTAAGATGGTTATATTCTATTTTACTTAATTGTTTTGCTATTCTATTCTTTTCTATTCTTTTTTATTCCTTAATTTTCTATTCAGTTTTATTCTTTTATTTTCTATTCTGTTCTGGTTTACTCTTTTCTTTTCTATTCTATTATTTTGTTTTGTATTATATTCTTTTCTGTTCTATTCTATTATTTTCTATTCTATTTTTTATTCTTTTGTTTTCTATTCTATTTTATTCTTTTCTTTTCTGTTCTAGTAACATAGGTGCATAACATCAAATGATCATCATTTGATGTTATGTACCTATGTTACTTACTGTTATTTTCTTCATTTGTAGATTGAAGCTCATGTACAGTATATATAATATTTGTTACACTTGAAATGCAGTCCTGAAGAAGCGGCGTGACCATGAAACGCATAGACTTACCAAGTGACATACACCATTTGCTTTTGATGTGATTTTTATATTCGTGTCATTTTGTAATATTGATATATGTTGTACTGATTTTTTATGATGTTACAATAAATTGAAGCTTTCACTTTATATTATGCTTGTGTTGATAACGGTTGGTCATACTTGAACACCCCCTGACTATTTCTGTTTTCATTATTTCACATTTACATTAAAATTGATTTTAGTGTATTGTTTCCTGAAAATATGCATTTGATAAATAGCTGCATAAATATCATGCGACATAAAAAAAATGGCAAAAAACACCATTTTATTCTCCAGGGTCTCTTCTTTCAGAAAATATATACTTTTTTTGGGGGGGGGGGGGGGGGGTGCAGTACTTTCTAGAAAACAATGCAGATTTTAACATTTAGGCAAAAAATTAAAACATTGCCCTGGTAGGCAATTGGTTAAGTAAAGTAACCCACAGCAACCATTCATGTTTTTCCTCTTCATTATTCTTACTGCTGTAAGCGGAGAACTGAATTCAGGTCACTATGGCTTCCTGCACATCATTTCTCTTTGTTCTGTTCTGTGAATATGTAACTTCAAAGAACATTTTCATTGATGCCAACACATCCATTGAAAGCGTGTCCTTGGTCCCCCTTGTTTATCTATACCATGCGTTTATGTACTTTACCGCAATCTGTCTTGTATGACATGGCATAGACACAGCATGTGGTCCCCTCACAGGTGGGACCAAGGCTGAATGATACATCATTTTTCTTACCCGATGCTACGCTTACTGACCTGCATTGTTTGCAGCATATGTTGAGGCTCACACGAGCGTAAAGAAAAGCGTAAAGAAAAAATGTACTCGAAAAATGAGGTGCAGATATTATAGTAAACACCACATGCAAGGAGAAGGCCTGCGAGGGAGTAAGTGTCTCCCCCCAGGCACTCCCGTCTTTACAAATGGTCGGCTCACACAACAGTTGAGCAATAGGACAAATGCCCTGTAGAACAGGGGTCTCCAAACTATGGCCAGGGGGCCACATTTGGCCCACTACAAGTTTTTATCCAGCCTGAAGCTAGGGTCAGTGGCGTATCCTTAATATGCACAGACCAAAGATTCTGGTCAGCAGAAGCTATCTATGGCTTCCACCAGGGGTGGATTGACAACTCATGGGGATCACGGGGGGGCCCTGTGTCCATGCCCAAACTCAAAAAATTCTATGAAAAAGGTACCAGGGGGGGCATCTCATGGGGCTCCCTACTGACCCCAGGCCATCGGGCAGTGCCCGAGTTTCCAAATGGTCAGTCCGCCCCTGGCTTCCACATTTCCCCTTCAGTCCTGCCTGCCTCACAGTCTGCATTGCAGGTCTCCATCGCTCCCCCCGCTGCACTGTCACCACCCCCATTATTGTTCGCTAGGACTGCTGGCATCCTAGCAAGCAATGATGTGCTTGCCCACAAAATGACACAACTTACGCTGCCCAGACCTCCTCCATTTCTTGACCTCCAAATGATGGCAGCCATGCCCATGCTGTAAAGCCTTACATCGGTAGTGGGGACTCTGATAGGGGCACTAATATTAAGGGGAAGAGGGGAATTCTCATGGAGACTCTGATGTAAGGGGGGACTTTGATTGGGATCCTGAGATAGGGAGGACTCTGATGGGATCCATATGTAAGAAGGGTATTCTCATGGGGACCCTGATGTAACAAGGGAATTCTCATGGGGACCCTGATGTAATTTTTTTTTTCACTTGTACACCGTGCTCATGTTTAACCTCCCTATGATCTATGTGATCAAATAAAGTATTGTTAAAATTCTCTTTGAATTCATATTACTCCGCGTGGATCATCTAGAAACCTTCTTTTTCAGATAGGGGTGTTCTTGTCACACTATCATATTGCTTAGTATGTTGTTCTTTGGGTTTATGTATCCACACTTATACAAGTGAGTCGGAGATATGCTAATGACATTAGTAATTCGTGTCATCTTTGGTGGCCTGCTTTTGCTTTATTGTTGTGATATTCTCATGGGGACCCTGATGTAACAAGGGAATTCTCATGGGGACCCTGATGTAAGGGGGACTCTGATTGGAATCCTGAGATGGGGGGACTCTTATGGGACCTAGACGTAAGAGGGGAACTCTCATGGGGACCCTGATGTAAGGGGGACTCTGAATTGGTATCTGAGAAAGGGAGGATTCTGCTGAGACGCAGATGTAAGTGTGGAACTTTCATGGAGACCCTGATGTAAGGAGGGACTCTGATTGGAATCCTGAGAAGGGGCACTCTGATAGGGACCCTGATGTTAAGGAGGAATCTGATGGGAAATGTAACATAAGGGGATATCTAATGGAGTAATGGGGACATTTTTTTGATCTGCAAATATTTGTAAAAAATACATAGTAATGCTTGTACTAAAAAGTTTTGAGACCCCTGTTCTAAAAGTGGCCCTTCAGCAGCATTGTCCACAATATGCAGGATAATGCTGATTATTCAGAGACCCTTATAACCAAAATTATTGCCACAAAAAAGGCTACCTTACAGAACAGCAGCAGCAGCAAGGGAATGTCCCAAATAGACTCGAAACGGAGGGGGGGTTTGTAACACTGACAACACAGAGTTTAAATGGCAAAGTTGGAATGGGGGCCAAGCAGGGGAGCAATAAGTGCAGCTCCTTGAATGAAACTTTGATTCCACCAGTGTATGAGCCAGGACCATCACCCAGCATTGAACATTCACCAAACTTTCTGCTACATTCTCTGTAGCCCATTTAACATGATCACACACATCAAACGTGGTCTCCGATGATAGCTCCAATATGGCGTCTGCACTCCTAGGGACCACTCTGTTCCTACACAGCAATATCATAGGAGTCTGTCACAAAAAGACCTACTGCAAGAAGAAGGCCAAAAGGTCCCATAGTGTAGCCGATTTTATTAAATGGGGAAATTTATCCGGACAATTAAAATGTTACTAAACTTACAACAGTAAAAGGTATTGATATACCTTTTGATATTTACTAAAATAATTTCTGTTGTGTATGTACTGTGGGAGACCAGATATAGTGAATGCAGGGTTCGGGGAGACCAGATATAGTGAATGCAGGGTCCAGGGAGACCTGATATAGTGAATGCAGGGTCTGGGGAGACCAGATATAGTGAATGCAGGGTCTGGGGAGACCAGATATAGTAAATGCAGGGTCTGGGGGAGACCAGATATAGTGAATGCAGGGTCTGGGGAGACCGGAAATATGAATGCAGGGTCCGGGAGACCAGATATAGTGAATACAGGGTCCGGGAAGACCAGATATAGTGAATGCAGGGTTCGGGGAGACCAGATATAGTGAATGCAGGGTCTGGGGAGACCAGATATAGTGAATGCAGGGTCTGGGGAGACCAGATATAGTGAATGCAGGGTCTGGGGAGACCAGATATAGTGAATGCAGGGTCTGGGGAGACCGGATATATGAATGCAGGGTCCGGGGAGACCAGATATGGTGAATGCAGGGTCCGGGGAGACCAGATTTAGTGACTGCAGGGTCCGGGGAGACCAGATATAGTGAATGCAGGGTCCGGGGAGACCAGATATAGTGACTGCAGGATCCGGGAAGACCAGATATAGTGAATGCAGGGTCTGGGGAGACCAGATATAGTGAATGCAGGGTCCGGGGAGAGCAGATATAGTGAATGCAGGGTCTGGGGGAGACCAGATATAGTGAATGCAGGGTCCGGGGAGACCAGATATAGTGAATGCAGGGTCTGCGGAGACCGGAAATATGAATGCAGGGTCCGGGAGACCAGATATAGTGCATACAGGGTCCGGGGAGACCAGATATAGTGACTGCAGGGTCTGGGGAGACCGGATATAGTGGATGCAGGGTTCGGGGAGACCAGAGATAGTGAATGCAGGGTCCGGGGAGACCAGATATAGTGAATGCAGGGTCTGGGGAGACTGGATATATGAATGCAGGGTCTGGGAGACCAGATATAGTGACTACAGGGTCCGGGGAGACCAGATATAGTGACTGCAGGGTCTGGGGAGACCAGATATAGTGACTGCAGGGTCCGGGGAGACCAGATATAGTGAATGCAGGGTCCTGGGAGACCAGATAAAGTGAATGCAGGGTCTGGGGAGACCAGATATTGTGACTGCAGGATCCGGGAAGACCAGATATAGTGAATGCAGGGTCCGGGGAGACCAGATATAGTGAATGCAGGGTCCTGGGAGAGCGGATATAGTGAATGCAGGGTCTGGGGGAGACCAGATATAGTGAATGCAGGGTCCGGGGAGACCAGATATAGTGAATGCAGGGTCCGGGGAGAGCGGATATAGTGAATGCAGGGTCTGGGGGAGACCAGATATAGTGAATGCAGGGTCCGGGGAGACCAGATATAGTGAATGCAGTGTCTGGGGAGACCGGAAATATGAATGCAGGGTCCGGGAGACCAGATATAGTGAATACAGGGTCCGGGGAGACCAGATATAGTGACTGCAGGGTCCGGGGAGACCAGATATAGTGAATGCAGGGTCTGGGGAGACCGGATATATGAATGCAGGGTCCAGGGAGACCAGATATAGTGAATGCAGGGTCCGGGGAGACCAGATATAGTGAATGCAGGGTCCGGGGAGACCGGATATAGTGAATGCAGGGTCCAGGGTTTAGGAACACTTTAGATCTTGCTAGATGTCTTCAGGCTGGCCCCTTTTCCAGATATAGCTAAGTAAAACATTAAAAATAAGAGTCTATACTGTTTGATATCTAGTAATATACTGTTTCATTCTTCTCTGCACATCCTCAGTAGCTCTATATTTTTGGTACTGTGCCACAAATGAAATGTAAACAACATGAAAGCATGGATCAATCCTGCCTTGTATCAATGGTTCAGGCTGGTGGTGGTGTAATGGTGTGGTGGATCCATCCTGCCTTGTATCAATGGTTCAGGCTGGTGGTGGTGTAATGGTGTGGGGGAGATTTTCTTGGCACACTTAGTACCAACTGAGCATCGTTTAAATGCCACAGCCTACCTGAGTATTGTTACTCATCATGTCCATCCCTTTATGACTCCAGTGTCCCCATCTCCTGATGGCTCCTTCCAGCAGGATAATGCACCATGTCACAAAGCTCAGATCATTTCCAAATGGTTCTTTGAACATGACAATGAGGTCACCGTACTCCAATGGCCTCCACAGTCACCAGATCTCACTCCAATAGAGCACCTTTGGGATGTGGTGGAACAGGAGATTTGCATCATGGAAGTGCAGCCGACAAATCTGCAGCAACTGCGTGATGCTATCATGTCAATATGGGCCAACATTTCTGAGAAATATTTCCAACACCTTGCTTAATCTATGCCACGAAGAACTGAGGTAGTTCTGAAGGCAGTCCAACACGGTACTAGCAAGGTGTACCCAATGGTGTATTTTGGTTTTGTGCTGCCCTAGGCAAGATTAAAATTGGGCACTCCCATCTAAACGTGTCCCTCCCTTTGCTGTTTGAGATCCACCTCTTCAGGACAGGAGCATGATGGACGGCAGTGTGACATGGGGGGGGGGGTGTCACAGGACAGGAGGGAGGCAGCGTGATGGGGGGAAGCAAGACATGAAGGGGGAAGTGGGATAGGAGGGGGGGGCAGCATGACGGGGGATATCAGGACAGGAGTAGGCCATTGGGACAGGTGGGGGGGGGGGTAGCAGGATAAGAGGGAGGCAGCGTGACAGGGGGAGGGCAGCATGATGGGGGGCAGCGTGATGGGTGGGGAGGCAGAGGGACAGGTGGAGCGCAGTGGGACAGGAGGAAGAGTGCAGAGGGACAGGAGGAGTGCAGAGGGACAGGTGAGGGACAGTGGGACAGGAGGAGTGCAGAGGGACAGGAGGAGTGCAGAGGGACAGGTGTGGGGCAGCGTGATGGGGGCATGGGACAGGATTGGGGCAGCAGGACAAGAGGAGCGCAGAGGGACAGGTGAGGGCTAGTGGGACAGGAGAAGTGCAGAGGGACAGGTGGGGGGGGGCAGCGTGACGGGGGGCATGGGACAGGATCGGGGTAGCAGAATAGGAGGAGTGCAGAGGAACAGGTGGGGGACAGCATGACGGGGGGCATGGGACAGGATAGGGGCAGCGGGACAGGTGGAGAAAAGAGGGACAGGAGGAGTACAGAGGGACAGATGGTGGGCAGCGTGATGGGGGCATGGGACAGCATAAGGGCAGTGGGACAGGAGGAGTGCAGAGGGACAGGGGAGGGGCAGTGGGACAGGAGGAGTGCAGAGGGACAGGTGGGGGGGCAGCATGATGGGGGGCATGGGACAGGATAGGGGCAGTGGGACAGGAGGAGCGCAGAGGGACAGGTGAGGGGCAGTGGGACAGGAGGAGTGCAGAGGGGCAGGGGAGGGGCAGTGGGACAGGAGGAGCGCAGAGGGACAGGTGGGAGATAGCGTGACGGGGGATATGGGACAGGACTGAGGCAGCAGGACAGGAGGAGTGCAGAGGGACAGGTGAGGGGCAGTGGGACAGGAGGAGCATAGAGGGACAGGTGGGGGATAGCTTGACGAGGGATATGGGACAAGATTGAGGCAGCGGGGCAGGAGGAGCGCAGAGGGACAGGTGAGGGGCAGTGGGACAGGAGGAGCGCAGAGGGACAGGATTGAGGCAGTGGGGCAGGAGGAGGGCAGAGGGACAGGGGGCATGGGACAGGATAGGGGCAGTGGAACAAAAGGAACCCAGAGGGACAGGTGAGGAGCAGTGGGACAGGAGGAACACAGAGGGACAGGTGGGGGGCAGTGGGACAGGAGGAGCGCAGAGGGACAGGAGGAGCGCAGAGGGACAGGAGGGGGGCAGCGTGACAAGGGGCATGGGACAGGATCAAGGCAGTGGGACAGGAAGAGCGCAGAGGGACAGGTGGGGGGCAGTAAGGAGAGATGGGGGGGTAGTGGGATAATGTTGGGGACAGGAGGGGGAAGCGGAACAGGTGTGGAGCAGGGTGACAGATGGGGGCAGTGTGACGGATGGGGGGCAATGGGACAGAGGAGGGAAGTAGAACAGGTGGGGGGGGCAGTGTGTCGGGGGGACAGTGAGACAGGAGTGGGGAAGCACCAGTCCTCCAAGCACTTACCTGTCCAGCAGGGGCTCCTCCAGATGGTGTCAGCATCACTCAAGGAGGGGCGCCTATGTTCCATCTTCCTCAGGATCTCTGGTGGCAGAAGGGGGCTCCTCCACCCTGACCTCGTCCTCTTCTTCTTCCTCCTCCGCGGCACCTTCTGGCAATCCTGCACATTCCGGCGCACTGACAGCGTTCCAAGCGCACACAGGGGTTCCGCCCACCATTCCGCTCTCCTCTGCAGCCAGTCCCGGGTGACCCTCCTTGTGTGTCAGCTTGTCTCGGCTGTACCCTCACCCATGGCGGCCCTGCACACAAAGTGCCCCCCTGTAAACTGCTGCCCTAGACAAACGCCTTGTTTGCCTCGTGGCAGATGCGCCCCTGGGTGTACCTAATTAAGTGGCTGGTGAGCGTATGTGTGTGTATGTATATATATACTGTGTATATATATATATATATATATATATATACTGCTCCAAAAAAATGAAAGGAACACTTTGAAAACACGTCAGATCTAAATGGGGAAAAATCTCCTGCTGGATATCTATTCTGATATGGACTGGGTAGTGTGTTAGGAACATATAGGAACATAAAGATGCCCCATCGTTTGATGGAAATGAAAATCAACCTACAGAGGACTGAATTCAAAGACACCCCAAAAATCAAAATGAAAAAATTATGTAGCAGGCGAATCCATTTTGCTGAAATTTCATTGCATCAACTCAAAATGGTCCTCAGTAGTTTGTATGCTTGTATGCATGCCTGACAATGCTGGGGCATGCTCCTAATGAGACCACAGATGGCTGAGACAGCAAGAGGGAGCCATTGGCTCCTGCTGCTTTCAATCACAGCTAGTCAGCCAATGAGGAGAGAGAGGGGCAGGGCCAATATATGGCTCCGTGTGTGAATGGACACACGGAGCAGCGGGTGCCCCCATAGCAAACTTCTTGCTGTGAGGGCACCCAACAGGAGGGAGGTGTCAGGAAAGCCTGAGGGAGACCCGAGAAGAGGAGGATCCAGGCTGCTCTGTGCAAAACCACTGCACACAGCAGGGAAGTATAGATGTGCTTGTTTTAAAGTGATTCTAAAGGTTAATTTTTTTTTTATGTAAATCAACAGAGTTCGCCTATGGTACCTGTCTACAGCGGCTCTCATTTCTGTTCCTCTCCTCACAGGACACATAGGCAGCAGCGAGAGCCATTGGCTCCTACTGTTGTCAATCAAATCCCATAAGGGGGGAGCAGAGGTGGGGCCAAGCTGCACTGTGTATGTCTATGGATGCACATAGTCTGGCTAGAAAGCAAGCCTGCACATGCAAGTGCTTGCTATGGAGGCAGACACAGTAGAGGAGGAGCCCAGAGCGCTGGAGGGGGATTGCAGAAGAGGAGGTTCTCTCTATGCAATTACATTGCACAGAGCAGGTGTTTACTCTTTTAATAAAAAAAAATTGCCTTTACTAACATTTTAACCTGATTCTGACACCCATGAAAAAAAAAAAAAAAGGTAAAAAAAAATGATGTAATCTATAAAATCATTAAAAACATGTATCCAGTCTCCACTAATCTTTAGGCCCCCAACAAACATATATATATATATATATATATTAGGTGCTCTGGATTATATTTGCTTTTACCATGTGTGAGTCAAACTTTGTTTAAAATTTTAATGATTGCAAACCTGTAAAATTATTGCTGTTGCACTAATTTCTGTCCAAGCAAACCCAACATGATCTTATCCTAATATTACAGTAACAATTTGCAAAAACAGATTTTTTTTTTCTTGTGTGTGTCACATTGTATCATCACCTAAAACAAAACGTCTTGGCTGCACAGCCAATCAGAAAAGGAGCTATGGGAGAGAACCAGCTATATAAAAGAAATTTTTAAAAAATTGTCAGTGTATCAAAAACAAAGGTAGAATGATTTTTTTAAAAACATTTAATCAACATGATCAAAATAAATAATAGCGAATTTACAAAGATTTACAGGATTTCAGATACGTTGGGGACTGCACTTCCCTCTATATTACGTAAGTTGGTCGCTCTTGGTTTAACAACTTCAGTCCCAGAGCCATTTCTTCTTTTTTTTTCACACGTGTTCAAATGTACATTTTAAGCCTGAAGATTACCGTATTTTTCACTCCATAAGACGCACCTGATCATAAGACGCACCTAGGTTTTAGAGGCAGAAAACAGGAAAAAAAAATTCTGAACTAATGGACTGCAGACATAGTACAGGAGATGACAAGAGACTGCAGACAGCACAGGGGATGACCAGAGACTGCGGACAGCACAGGGATGACCAGAGACTGCGGACAGCACAGGGGATGACCAGAGACTGCGGACAGTACAGGGATGACCAGAGACTGCGGACAGTACAGGGGATGACCAGAGACTGCGGACAGTACAGGGATGACCAGAGACTGCAGACACAGTACAGGGATGACCAGAGACTGCGGACAGTACAGGAGATGACCAGAGACTGCGGACAGTACAGGGATGACCAGAGACTGCGCGGACAGTACAGGAGATGACCAGAGAC